TTTGTCAAATATGCAGATGATCTGACTGTATCACTGCCTATCACTTCCGAGTCTGACAGCTCCAAACTTAATAGCTTTCTGTTGGACATCAACAACTGGTCCAAGTCAAATGGTCTTATATTAAATCCTTCCAAATGTCAGGCTTGACTTTACTTTCAAGCATCGACGTGACTTACTTGAACTAGTTAACTCTCATGATCCCTGTAGCATAGATGGCACGGAAATTGAAACCAAATCAAGCATTAAATACCTTGGATTAGTTCTTTCCTCTGACCTTTCATGGTCATCCCACATCTTATCTATCTCTAAGAAAATGTTTCGTCTTACCTTCTACATTAAAAAGTTAAGACAATCAGGTATCAACCAACCTTTAGTTTTGCAATTTTTAAACTCCTGTATTTTACCTATTGTACTCTATTGCTCTCCATTAATCTTTCCTGGGCTTCTCAAAAAAGATTATATCATATTACGAAGAGTATTAAATGCTGTGAGTAGAGCTTGTGGTCTGCCACTGCATGAGCTCGCTAATACTATAGTCGAGAGGCATATAAATTCCTGTACGAAATGGGCAAAGGCTATAATGTCAGACCCTCTGCACCCCCTTTATTCACACCTGTCCCCTTGTATCTCATCAGGTAGGACGAGAAGTCAATATAAAAAGATATATGCTCGTACTACTAAGTATAGAAATTCTACAATACCCTATTTAGCGCGTACTTTATGTGACGAAGACTCTGTTAGACGTGAAACTTACAAGTTACTATGTAATTAGCACAGTGAATCGACCCTTTTATCGTTCATCTTTCTGTATTTTATGGTGTCACACTTTCTATCGTTTAATCGTTACTCTGCTATTTTATATTAGTTGGTATTACTATTATTACTACAATTTTGTACTTTATGCATATTTTTCTCCGTATGGCATACAGTATTTTGCTACGTAGCTGCTGTAACAATCGTTTTATTACTATTATGTAATGTGTATTTTTAATTTTTTTTGTCGTTTTTGAGTAAATTAGATGCAATATTGTACTGAATGCTGAAAATTCCTTGCTGTATCATTAGTACTGTTTTTGGAATAAAGCAAAAAAATTATTATTATTATTACTAGCATATTTACTGGCGTAAGCGGTAACAAAAAGGTCGAGATATATTCACAGTGTGAAAGAACGAAGAAGAATGTTTTAAATAGAGTTTGTAAGGAAGACAGGAACAAAGCAGCATATAACAAAAAAAAAAAGAAAAGTAAAAGAGAGACAGAAATCGTTGTACCTATAAACGATATGAGTTGGAAAGACGAGATCCAGTTGTTCTACTGACTATTTAATAAATTGTAGGTATCACGCCTAATGCTTTCTTTATCGCACAGAACACGAGCTAAGTAGGTTATGGTTGAGTTTTTGTACTTGCTAGTGGGAGCATATAGTTTTCTATATAGGCGGGCTTCTGGTTTTGCCTGATGAGATACAAGGGGAGAGTTGTGAATGAAGAGGGTGGTGTGAGTTAGATAAAATGGATTTAGACCATTTTTCACATGAGTTCAAGTGCCTGTCAACCAGAATATTAACAAGCTGGTTAAGTGGCACTTAGCTTACCCTGCTGACAACCTATAATATCCTGCATAATAAGGTATAGTCTTTCTTCAGTAGCCAGCCCAGGAAAAACTAAGGGGGAAAACTAGAGAATAATAGGCAGAATGAGGAAGTTGACGAATTGTAGGATTAAGGGTTGGGTTATTCCAGAATGTCTTAACTTCTCGATGTAGAAGGTAAGACGGAATATTCTAATTGCACGTGTGAGGTGTTAAATAGATCAACAAAGCTGCAGTGATTAACCTCCCTCTCTCTCTTTCCACCTAACTATATTACTTTTTAATACTTTCATCTTATCCAATGCTTTATGTGATAACACGCAAATGAATGTATTGCAATGGCAGGGTCAGTCATTCTAATTGTTGCTAATTTCTATGTTCTGATAATCTAATTGACCCTGATCTACTAGTTTGACCGACCTATGTGTAATTGACCTCACTCACAGTCATTAAATGGTTTTTGGTTAATTATATTATTTTTCTTAGCTGAATCTATTATGTACTTAAAAAGACAAATTTTTGTCTCTTAGCGATTTGGATCATTGGTTTAATTGCCAGCCTAATTTCAGCGTCATTGTGAATTCTACGTAAGGTCTTTGACATCCCTTCTTTATACGCCAGTGCTACAAAGAGGCTTAGAATTCTACATTAATTTCGTCACTTTTATTGCCAGTCTTAGTTTTTCCATGGTTCTTCATACATTTCTGAGTATATTCTGCTGGGTAGTGTGTTATTCACTGGTAATATTTCCTTTATTTGTCTGATTTCGTTGTTTAAATCGTCTGCCTTTCTACTTTGGCTCTTATCCTGATTATAATGACATTTAACTAAACCTATCTTTACAGATTCTGAGTGAGATGAATTAAAGTCTAAGTATCTATTAGAGTGTTTTGGTTTTCTATAAGTACTAGTATCTAACCACCCGCCATTTTGTTTTCATTTTATTCTAGACCCTAGAATGGTCAACTCACCTTATTCGTTTTCTAACTACTGCGTTTTTATGTGTGAAAAGAATAAGGAATATACTCCATTTCCAACACAATAATGGGGTGTGTTATCCAAATATCTCCACTAAAACTAAGGAGCAGTACTAAACGTTCTAAGAACCTTCTGTTCCCAGTTATCCATAAATATGTCTGTCATTATTGAGGATATTGGTGATCCCATTGCACTCCCCCCACCCCATTCTTTTTTTTTACATAGTTTATTGTGAAATATGAACTCAGTGGAAGTTAGACACATAACTGATCACCTAATATTATTTCATCAACTTAGAGCTTAGTCCTAGTTTTGAGTTCAGGATCAATGTTAGTTAGTTAGTTCATTCTTAACTGCCTCGTAAGTAAACTGGTTAAGTCGTTCTTTGATCTTTTTTTAGTTGAATTTCCTCTAGTTTCTGCTTCATTACATAGGAATTAGTTAGTCTTGAATTTGACCTATCTCTAGCAGGGGCATATTATTAATGCTAAATATATTTACATAACTCGTACGTTGGGGGTGTTCCTAAAGTCGACTAGCTGGCTTGTATATCATTCAGCCAATGAGACCCGATTCAGTAGCCAGCCCATGAATTCTACCTTCTACCAATTCGTGACTTGGCACGATCACTAACCAGTGTCATCGGTGGGAAATCCATACTCACACTTGACTGGATGGACCTGATGGGCCGTTGAATCGGGTCCCAATGGCTAAATGGTATACCAGCCTGCTTGCCTTGTAACCGGAGGGTCCTGGGTTCGAACCTCAGTGGGTGCGTGCTGCCGATGGTTGCCAAACTAGGATGAAACAGCTGTTTAATACTCCCTATGTCTGGTTTTCGATGGTTCTCCAACTGATATCAATTCGTGATCAACTCGTCAAAAAAAATTTGGACTAAGCCAAATTCCAGTCACTGACATTTTCCATTATCATTTTGTATATTCAGCTGTGTTTTAGTAACAGTAAGTCAAGAATTCAGTATTGAACGAAGATATTCGAAAATCCTTCAAAAACGAACTGATTAAACACTACCCTTATGATTTACTACATTGGACTTTATGTTGTTTTTTTTAGTAAGATTCATCTGACTCTCCATGTTAAGAACATTCATAATACATGGTTAAATAACTGTCTCTTCATACTTCTTTTATCACCTGAGTTCATTGAATAAGAAAATATCTACATGTGTATACGTAAATTCTATTTAGCCAACAAGGCGGAGAATTAGGTTTACGGACTACCTAATTAAAAAACCTAGAGTGCATAAAAAGAATTTCTGTGGTCTCTAGTCGCCAAAGCTTTTTAATACAATGACATTAGGACTTGAAAATTCAACTGGAATTCATGTTCCTAGAAATCATTAACACGATGTATATTTTTTCAGTTCACCTGAAATGTTTAAGTGTTTGATGAAAAACATATACTTTGAAGTCATATGAAAAAGAGAAGACGTTCAGGGAAAAGACTCTTTTCAGCGAATTCATTCACATAGCTGTACAATCGCGTTTATATATAATTATTATTTGTTTGTGTGTGTGTGTGTGTGTAAATGAGATTTGTCAAGTTTAGATAACTGATCAGGTAATAAAAGAATGCTCTAATATAGAAACAAGGTTAGTTACATAGCATCTAAAGTAAGATTGAGTTAGTAAGCTAGATGATGTAATATAATCGACTAAAATGTTCAGGCGATTCACTTGCTAAATCTGGAACTCTGCATACAGAAGAAGTTCGTTCAATCACTACACTTGCAATGGACGTAATCTGTCCTAATGCCCAACACGTAAATTCTATCTGTATCTTTCTTTCTATCTCCTCATTAGTATTATTTTGTCTTTTCAATTGTAATATTTTACATTTTCAACTCTCTTGTTCTCTATCTCCACCCGATTTAATTTCTGCACCTCATAACCTCTGTTATTGACTTGACCAATGCTCAATGTCTAGTCATTTATGTTACTTCATTCAACTTATTTGCTCAATTTCAGTTCTAATGTAAATGACATTACTATCTACTCCACCTCTACTTAGTCTCTACCTGTAATTACCTATGTTGTTATCCTGACCTAAGTTGAAACATTTTAGTCGATTATATTACGTCATCTAACTTACTAACTCAATCTTACTTTAGATGCTATGTAACTAACCTTGTTTCTATATTAGATCTTTCTTGTATTATCTAATTAATTATCTAAAATTGAGAAACCTCATTTACACACACACACACACACAAAATAATAGTTATATATAAACGCGATTGTACAACCATGTGAATGAATTCGCCGAAAAGATTCTCTTCGCTGAACGTCTTCCCTTTTTCGTATACTTTCAACCATTTACGTAAAATTCCGAAGAGAAGAAAACCTCACATAACTACAAAAAAAATATGCTTTATACAATTGAAATTCAGGGGGAAAAACATCCTACTTACCAGAAAACTTCAATCCTTTGTGAAGAAACCATACAACTGGTCCAGACCAATAACTACTTGTATTCACTGTTGATAAATCTTTTTCTAACAGACTTCCATATGCTCGTTGATTAAACGATGACACTGAAGGATCAACTGAAGCAGTCAAATAAGGTTTCATCCGCACTGATCGAGAGTTTCGTAACAATCGTATACCACCTGATAAATGAGAATTATCCTGCCTCGCATGTGTCAATGTTGACGAGAATCGTGATCTTCTAGCTGATCGATGTTTTCTTTCTACAACGCCGGCTGAATTTGTTTCAATCCAAAATAAATCAGGACGATAATTCCGTATAGATAGATTCAATGGGATCTTATCTTTTCCGTAGAGTTGTTCGTAAATCTAAAATAAAGAATGTTTGAAATTTTTTTTTGCTTAGTTCACTGATGTCCTGAATGTTTTAACACGCTTATTATAAGCAAAATGTACCTATTTTGTAATCTGCGAAGAGTACTGACGAACTGATCGAGTTTCACCATAGAGTTTTAAGCATTGGGTTTGTAGGGATTTTGTATGATTGTATGGAAAATTTCATCATGAGCTGACATCAGTTAGAGAACCACTGGAAAACCTGGGAGTACTGGACAGCTGTTTTGCCCTAGTTTGGGACTCTCCACAGTACGCACCCACAGGGGTTCCAGCCCAGGACCTTTTGGGTAGTGAATTGCCAGAAGTTAGGATTCAAGAACCATTGGATTGGGTCCCAGTGGCTCAGTGGTCTACGAGCTCGCCTTGTAACCAGAAGATCCTGGGTTCGAACCCTTTGGTGTGGTTGCGTACTGTGAAGAGTCCCAAATTGGTGTGACGAAACAGCTGTCCAGCACTCCCAGGTTTTACAGCGGCTGTCTAACTGGTGTCAGTTCATGATGATATCCTTCATAGAGTTTTTCATACAAGTGGAGCAGTTCAAGTCCCAAGCACATAAAGGTAGAGAGAAGAAAAAGAGAATCAGAAGACCTATAATGAGCAGAAACTTGGGAAGAAAAAGACAGTTTCATGGAATAAAGCAAGACAATTTAGTGGATGGATATAAGAGAACCCAACGGGTGAATGTATATGCAAAACTGACAGCGATTTTGCGCTTTAACATCAACAGTCTTCAGCCATTGGTTCTTAGCATTTAAGACGACTTCAGTCGGTCAGCTTAGACGCACATTCCCATGAGGCTAGCTTAGACTAACTGCTAAAGACTCCATGAACTAATTCCATGTTCATTCTATTTGTAACAGTTTTCCAACCTAATCCTATGTTAGCTAACATTTCCCGTCGAGGTAAGCGATAGCTCGGTATTCGCGAAGCGTGTCCTACTCTTCTTAATCGATGCAGGTTCGCGAAGTCATCGAATAACCTACCCTTCTGTTTGGAGCACCTTAATATTAATAACGTTAAAGTTCAAAATGAATAACACTGATTAATTAATTTCTAAATGATGAAAAACTCAAGCTTATGTTATAAGTTCAAAAGAAATACATCCGACCGTTGTTCCTACGAAGCCACCATGAAACGTCAGTCCCACCAAGTTTCTTATCCAACCTTCCTATTTATTTCTGTTATTTTTACGTGATAATTTCTTACCTACATTAATAGATTTGATTGCTGTTCTTTATAATTATAAATGTCCGAACTTCCCAACCCATTTTGTTACTACCACGTCCTTAATCCGTAAATTATTCTTATAAAATTGAGACGAACTGCTCATCCCATCGTAATGAATTCACCACCGGACTCTCGAAACCCCCTAGAATATATATTTAACTAACTCATGCATAGACAGTTAAACAATGGACTATCTTTTATTGGTGAAATGGTGATCGATGTCCAGTCCGAAAAATTTAGCCAATCAGAGTTTGGCCCACGTGAGTTCTTGATATCCAGTCTAGAAATAAACCAATCAGCATTGACCAACGTAAAATAATGCCCAATATTTTATTGATCATAATTACAGACTGTTATTTTGATAAATCACACCGTGCTACACAGTAATATGAACCGATGACGTTTCGAGCACAAACTATTGCTCATAATCATACCAAATCGAAACGTCATCAGTTAATATTACAGCATAACAACACTGTGATTTTCGACGGTCATCATCTGGGCTGAACATTCGTGTATTTATATCAAATGGATGGGAAAATTCCAGAATAATATCCGGTCAAGGGTCAAATTAATTAAAATTAGGAATTAGAATGCCATAATAAACACGGGGGGGGGGTGGATAAAACAAACAAAGTAGCATCATAATAACTAAGAAGATTGACATCGTGCAATTAGGGGTTAGAAATGTAGAAATAACAAAATAGACAGGATGTTTGAATAAAAACTAATGTGATGAATAATTGTTTATGCAATCAGGGATTAAACATGTAGAAATAGTAAAATGACAAAATAAACACTAAGTTCGGATATGAAAATATGGACTTCGTCGAAAAGAAAATTTTCTTCGGTGCAATTGTCTTCTTATTAACTCCTATGACCCAATGTGTATATTCCGTGATTTGAAGAGGAGCAAGGACTGTTCGACTGTAAGGGAACTGAATAAGTTTCTACGTTTGTCCGTCAAGCTTGCTGAGGCGAACGCAAAGGTTTTCTTCTTGAAGAATTGTCTCGAGAAACATGAATATCTCAAAATATATTGGAAGCATCTCAGACGAGGATTCGGAAGATATGCAGAGAGGAAGTGGTTGAAGAAGAACTGCGTAATCTTCGAAAAACCCTGATGGAAAACGGTTTCCCGTCAAGATTCATAGACAAGAATCTCAAGTGTAAGAAGACTTCCGAACAAGTCCATTCCGTTCCAAAGAAAATACTTCTGCTTAATCTAGAATTCAAAGGTGATACTGAAGCAGAAATCCTTCGTAAACGCCTCTCAAAATCGCTGAGGAAAACATACTTCGCCGCGAGCCTACGACTGGCGTTTTCCTGCAAGAAACTGTTCAGCCAGAACGCGAAAGACAAGCTGTCGCATATATTTATGTTATTTTTTACTTATTTCATTTTAATTTTTGATTACAGCTTGATTCCACACCGTATTTTTGGTACAAGTATGGAATTTTCAGCATGGATATCGGTAGCCTAAAATTTGCAGGCCGACCATAGATATCAGGTGTGCGTCGGCGTGGGCTCGAACCTCGGACCATAAGCATGGTCGGCGAGAGTCCTAACCACTGTGCCACCAACGTGCCACCTCAACGTGCATATACCAGTTTATTTGCTCTTGTGGAGCTGAGTACGTTGGCCGTACCATGCGCCGACTTGAAAAACGCGCTCGTGAACACTATCCTGCCTGGCAAGTAAAAAGAGAACGCAAACGGGTAAATAGTTCGGTGACAGAACATCTGGTTAATTCAGGACATTCAGCGCCACTCGAAAAATCCTTCCAAATCATGCACAAGATTCGATCAAACCTATAAAGGGAGTAAAATCAAGTCATCTGGGCATAGCCAAAGCGCTAGCTATACAAACGCTCAAACCCACGCTGTGTATACAAAAGAAATACGTCCAACCCCTGTCCCTGCCATGACCATCATAAACAGGTAATTTTGAGTAATGACCATCCCATCGCCTTTCTTATCTAAACTTCCTGTTTATTCATGTTATTTTAAGTTTTTCTTAATTCCCATTTAACACTACCATATTTTCATATCCCAACTTCCTGTTTATTTTGTCATTTTACTATTTCTACATATTTAATCCCTGATTGCATAAACAATTATTCATCACATTAGTTTTTATTCAAACATCCTGTCTATTTTGTTATTTCTACATTTCTAACCCCTAATTGCACGATGTCAATCTTCTTAGTTATTATGATGCTACTTTGTTTGTTTTATCCACCCCCCCCCCCGTGTTTATTATGGCATTCTAATTCCTAATTTTAATTAATTTGACCCTTGACCGGATATTATTCTGGAACTTTCCCATCCATTTGATATAAATACACGAATGTCCAGCCTAGATGATGACTTCGTCGAAAAGAAAATTTTCTTCGCTGCAATTGTCTTTTTATTAACTGTGTGATTTATTAAGATGAAATCTTATCTACAATGGAGTTATACCCTACCACAGTGCCCAAGTTTTATGCTTATATCAATGACTAAAATTTCTTTGGTGATATTTTAAATCATAAACTTTTGTGTGAAATACACATTGCGGCTCATGTCTTTGTTTGTCCTGTCGTGCAGGGGAAACAGGTAGCTGTTGCATACTCTTAAATAGAGCATCTTTGTCCGGCTTGGCGTTCCTTTAAATTTAGCTACAAAATCAAATATGCTATGATCCTCCAGTACCTATCTACAATGATAGATAAATTTCAGGCTAATAAAAAATGATTTATTTAAATATCTACTCCTATCCTACAGTTATGGGATAAAACTTTAAGTAAGTCAGTAAATAATGCCTAGTTTATTTTTCTTCCTACCATTAAAACTTTTGCTTTACTCTTCAAACCTAAAACTAATTCTCATATTTAGCTATCAAGTCGTAATCTGATTGGCTATCCTTTCAGTCTTTCCTGTTAACATAATATTGATCGGGTTAGTTAATTCAATTCAATTGAATAGAATAGAATTGAACTGAACTTGAATTCATTTGTACAGAATGTAGGAAGATAACAAAATCTGATTATAAAAGTAGATTAATTTAATCATACTCTGACTTTTTGTCTCTCTCTCTCTCGCGCGCGGGCTGTCTTTAGAAAGTTTTATAAGTCAAGATAAAAAGAAGTATTCAAGTTCTCCACTAAAAAGAGGGGAAAAATAACTGTGTTTAACTTTTTTCATATATCCCAGCAATATTTGAAACAGTATCTTTTATAAGTACCTTTCTCTAAGATTTTTTAAAAATATATCTTTCTATGGTTCTACAAGACTATAAGTGCTGATGACTAGTTAGTCAGGAAGATAGTTAACTTTCCATCTCTGCTATTAATGTGTTTAAAAGATGCTTTCGGAGATTTGTTTGATGATTGGAAAATGTTAGAAATTTGAATAATCAAAACAAAACACGTAGTTTGGTGAAGGGGCTGTTTTAGCTGCGTATAACAGTTCACCTGCTGATGTGAAGCCAGTCAGATACATTGGTCGTTTGATGCGTATCCCGTCTTAAAAAGTTTAAGAATACATTACCCTCCAAGGCTTCCGAAAGATACTAGTAATAGCTCAATATACAAGAAGGGAGACAAATCTTCCTGTGATAATCACAGAGGGATTAGCTTGACGAATATAGTATCCTAAGTCCTAGGCTCAATAATCATGCGTAGACTAAGTTGTGCTCGGGAGGCACTAACGCGAGAGAGCCAGGCAGGCTTTAGACCAGAAAGAGGGTGTATTGATCATATCTTC